CCCTCTCCATATACCCCACAGCCCCCCATACCCATCCTGCCACAAACACACGCACACCTACCTATACCCCTTACACTCCTCCACAACCCACACAATATAGAAGAATAAGACTTCATTTTGAGCTATTAGGCAATCACTTCTATATATACAACACAAAGAAACAAATTGGGACAAAAATATTTTTTAAAATTAAATTAAAATATATTATTATGGATGCTTGATTTTCTTTTAGTATATAATTTGTTTTTTTACTGGTTCTGTGATGGCAAACCCTTTTCCCAAAAGAAGTACTTCTGGTGGCAAAGATTAGGGGTGGGACTTCCAGTCACAAGATGGCAACTAGGGGGCAAGGTGCTTGCCAAGGGGTGGGGCTACCCTTGCAGCCTTCCACACTTCACCAAAACTTGTTAAGTGGCTCTCCAGCCCAAATAGTTGCCTGTCCCCGAACTAGCTAGTAAGAATTTACAGTAGCATATTTGAAAAAGGAGAAAATGCCCCCCTCCCTTACCCCCCAATACCTTTGGGGAAAGCAAGTACCATTTTAAGCACTTAGTCAAAAATATAGATGTTGAGCATCCATATTTAGTGGCCTTGCTCGGAAAAAAGGCTACCCTAAATGAGCAGTAAGATCAGACTTAGGAGACTGGACACTATCCATGCAGAACTTACACCAATGAAGGTATCTTGACTGAGGTCTTCAGAAGCTGCAACAATACAAATGTGAACTGTTCAGGAGAGGCAAGGAAAAATCAAAACTCATTTTGAAATGTCTGGGACTCCAAGTGAATAAAGTTGAAATTCACTTCAGCTGCTTTTTAGCCTCTGTTATGTTAAAAAGACATTTTTAATCTGCAGAACAGATATGATAAAGTTAAACTACAGCAGGTGTTTGTAAATTACCCACTTGGAGAAAGTCATTCCTGTTTTGAAGGGGCCACCGTCAAGGTAGGGGAAGGTAACTTACTTATTATTATACCCTTGACCTTTCTATAGAGACTTCAGTCAAAGGATCCCACTGCTAAGGTTTTGTTTGAGATTCTGTCCATAGAAAATTGGGCTAGAATTGGTTTCATAAATTAGTCACTAGTTATTAAATTCCTTGAATCCAAAGGCCCTTTGCAAATCCCCTGTCCTTGCTGTCAACCATTTATTAATTGAAACTAATCTTACTGGTACTAGTGTGAGAGTTTGTTTTGATTGAACTGTCTTTTGGAAGCTTCCAACAAACTAAATGACACAAAGTAGCAAATACTGACCAATCTGTAAACTGCCCACAAAGCTGGTAGCACAAAGAAGTAGTAAGCCCACTCGGTGCAGTGATGTGCATATCAAAAAGCAAAAAAGGATAGAAGACAGATATTCTTTAAAAGAAAATATCTAAGCATATAGTGATTATATTACCGTGAGGTAGATGCATACCTGGGTGAAGCGCAGGGTCTTCCCCTGGGAATTTCACGGTTTGATGTGCAAGGATTCCCAGACCTTTTAAAGAGATGAAGTTGCTCCCTAGAAAGTAAAGGAATCAATTACCGGATGTTTCTCCTCAACCTGAAGTGGCAGTGCCCATAGTTGAGGAAATAATGGACCCTGCCTAGTTCTGGGAGATTCTGAGAATGGCAGCCACGAGCTCACGTGAGGCAGAAAAAGAAGTGACAAATCTTTTCTTTGGTGAAGAAGGAACAAGAGGTGGGGTTTTTTTTATACCTCACCAATGACATTTGTCTCTGGGAGTGGACAAGACATTTCCCTCCGCACTCTTCTCTGAAACAGAGTGACAGCAAGAAAAATAGTTAGCCAAAAAGGCTAAGTTTGGCTAGAAGACATCCTTTTTGATAATCTTCAAATGCAGGCTCAAATGATCAGGTCCTGCTGTTGAGAGAGGACTTCCAGGCCTATGAGACTCTATTTCTTTTTAGTGATACCAGGTGGCTCAGGGGAGAAGTTTTGCCTTGCTAGTGATGGAAGCTGAACTTTCTGCACATTGCCTTAGGGGCAGCTGACACAGCTGCTTGTCCTTTTGGATGTGTGATGTAGTGGTTGTTCCAGTTCAGTTTTATTTCTTGTGTAGTTCTGATTACTTAGAGGGGACATACTTGGAAGACCATGCTTCACCCAGTTATGCTCTACCTTACAGTAATATAATCACTATGTCCTTAGATATTTTCTCTTAAATATCTGTTTTCTGTGATAAGTAGGGGACTGATTATTTGAGGGTACAGAGTAGTACAGCACTGTGAGATGATATTCTTTATATCATGAAAGAACCAAGGATGCTGCTGTGTTCTGTAGTCTTTTTCTGGCTGAAGCAGGAAGCTTTCACTGTTTGAAGCACATGCTGATGGCTGTTTGTCAATGCAAACTACCTTTGCCAACAGCATAGCCAAGAGTTGGCTGCCTGCAGAGCTGGGAGACTTTGGCAGCGTTCTGATGGCTTCATCTGTGGCCAGGTGGTGGGGACTCCCTCCCATATCATAGCTGAGAGAAGTGGTGGCAATGGCTGGTCCTAGCACTGACCTGTCTTAGACCTAAGCTGAATCATTCTGGCCCACTGGAAAAACATTGCTGGAACACTGGAGAGGACAAGTACTTAATCATAGTTAGGAGGCATTTACGGAAAGGAATTAGAATTAGTGGAAATCATAGAAGAGGCTTGGTAGCTGATAGTCACTGGTAGCAATCACCGATGTCACTGGCTGCAAAATGACTGCATGGACTTGGCTCCAGTTTCTGTGGGGAGAAAAGACTGCATGTTTTGGAGAGCTGCTTTTCAATAGAAAGGGATCCCGTATTTTAATAAATGCTGTGGCTAAAAGGAGAGGGTGAAACATGGAAAAAAAACTTGTCTATCATAAGTTTAAGCTTCTGAAAGCAGAATTCATTCAGGCACTAAGGGGAACAAAGAAAAGAGATTCTTTTGTTTTCTGTGTACCAGTATGAAGGAGGTGGGTTATAAACTAGAGCAGCGGTTTTGAACCAGGGGTACATGTACCCCCAGAGGCTACGTGAAGTCTCATCAGGGGGTACGCGAGATATATTTCATACACTGTCTAACACAGGTCGAAAAATTAATTTCCCATTGAAAGGGGGTACCTGAAGGCTCACTCTGAGACCAAGGGGTATGTCGACTGAAAAAGGTTCAGAACCACTGAACTAGAGGAATTGGAAATGACTATTTATGAGCATAAATTTTGACTTAGGTGGTGGTGTGGACTGTTAAATAAGTTAAAACCATTAATTTTTAGGAAAAAGTACTCTGGTAAAGGGGAAGGCTGATCAGAAACAGTAGCTACTAAAGAGTGCTACTAAAATCTGAATTTTTAAAAAGCAGGTCCAGACAATTTGCATCAAGAAGCTTTTTAAAAGGACAGGCCAGGAATTTGTCTGGATCCTTAATGTTTTCCAGTAGGTTTTAGAATGCTGAGGAAGTTATGGACTGGAAGAAAGCTAATGTGCCAATATTTAAAAAAAAGTTTAATAGCTGGGCAGCTATTGGCTTTCGCTACTCTGGCAAGGATCCTGCAATGCTAGATATGGGAGAATAAAGAATAATCTGAATTTGAAGGCAATTGTGGATTTATTGAAAATGGATCTTGCTTGATTATAATACTTTGAGTCTGGCTAATAATAATAATAATAATAACATAGCTGTAATAAGTTTGATTTATGATTGTAGGAAAGCAGGGCTGGAAGGGATTTCATAAGATCACCTAGTCCAATTCCGTGTACCAGGCAGGATCACCCTTGACTAAACCATCCTAGCCAAGTGTCTGTCTAACCCAGGGGTGCTCAACATCAGCTTGCAGGCCAGATCCCCTGCTGCCAAATTTCCAGACCTATGGGAAGCCTTGCAGAATAAACAGTGTGGCCCTGCACAGGGTGGCACAGGGCCTGATTTGGGCACTGACCCCGTGGGGGATCTCACCCATGGACTAGTTCTGTACCACTGATCTAGTCTGTGGGACTTAAAGGTTGAGCACCACTGGTCTAACCTAAAATGATAGAATCATTACTGATGGTTTTCAAGTGGCAAAGATTAAATGACAAAGGCAAAAAGATAAATAATAACATCACAGATGCAATTGGTCACAAGCAAAAAAAAATGCATTTTGATATGGCCAGTTGTAAAACTGCACTTCAAAGAACAAAGAATTTAGAACATACTTGTGGTAAGGGGGAGCCTGTCCTTGGAAGCAAGGACAGTAAAAGACCAGGATCATGGTGGCTGCATCTGAACTGGTGTGATGCTTTAGGGCAGTCATACTCTCTCTATATGAACCACTGCTGTGACTGTTATTGGAATGCTTTTTTTGGTTTGGATGTCTTCAATTCAAGCGTGATATGGATAAATTGGGGGTTCAGAGAAGTGTCACAAGAATGATTAAATGATCGGAAAACATGAAGGAGTTGTGCTCATTTTGTTTATCTTGTCAGAGGAGGTTTGATTAATCAGTTTAAAAAATACCCAGGGAACAGAAATCTTGATAAGAGAGGAATCTTCAATTTAATAGACAGATACACAACAAAAATCATTTG